TTTTTTTTTTTTTTTTTTTTTTTAAAAAAAAAAAAAAAAAAAAAAAAAAAAAAAATGGATGTGTTTGAATTTGTAGATCCGTTAAGAAAAAGAAAAATAACAAAAAATTTATTTGACTTTGATAAATATATATATAAAGATAAAAATGAAAAATCAGAAGAAGAAAAAAAAAGTAGTGAAAATAATTTAAAAAAAAAGAAAAAAAAATTAAGAAGGATTTTAAATAGTTCAAGTAGTGATGAAAATTTTGAAAATATAAAAAAGAAAAATAGTAAATTAAAGAAGGAAAAAGAAATAATTGATAAAAAGGAATTTAATGATGAAGATTGTGTAAATGACAATGGTAATTCTATCTCTATTGAAAGTGATAAAGAAGAATATGAAAGTAGTTTAAATCATTTATTTGAATGTTTGTTAATATCAATAAAAATAAAAAATAAAATTATTGAATATTTTGCTTCGGATGTAAGAGAAAAGAGACAAGAAATTATAAAAGAATTTGTAAAAGGATCTTTTCGAGTAAGTAATTGTGATGCTAATTTTCAAAATTTTGAAAAAAATGTTGATACATTTCACAAGCTAAAAAGTTATCAGAAATGTGGAGTTTTTTGGCTATATATTTTATATAAAGAAAAAAAAAATGGAATTTTGGCTGATGAAATGGGATTAGGTAAAACAGCACAGACGTGTGTATTTTTAGATTACATGTACAGAACAAAAGAGCTTCAAAATAAAACAATTATAGTTGCACCAACCAGTTTATTAAAGAATTGGAATAATGAAATAAATATATGGTGTCCATATTTAAAAAATCATAAAATAATTTATTATGGTAATCAAAATGAGAGGAAATATTTAGCCTATGATATTTTTACAAATCAAAGTAATAACATTCATTTAATTGTTACAAGTATCAATATGCTTATTGGAAAAAATGATGTTTCATATTTTAGACAAATTAAGAAATATGATTATCTTATTTTTGATGAAGCACATTTTTTAAAAAATAAGAATTCCTTAATCTATAAAAAATTACAAAAAAAAATTGTTTTTAATAATAAAATTCTTTTAACAGGATCACCTATACAAAACAAAACAGAAGAATTAATGAATTTACTTTTATTTTTAATGCCTGAAATTTTTACTGAAAAAAATATAAATAGTGCTATGGATGCATTTGTTAAATTGTATCAACAAATTGTAAATAAAAAAGAGGATTATGAATTAGAAGAAAATATTCAAGTAAATAAAACTATGGAAATACATGACATAAATTCAGAAGAAGAAATAGCTAATTCAGAATCTGCTAAAAACATGATAAAAAATTATTTAATTCAAACAATCAAAAATGATGTAAAGCATGTTGAATTAAAAAATAAAGAAATTATTTTGTTACAACTCATAATTGAACCATATATTTTACGAAGATCAAAAAAACACGTTTTTATAGATATGCCAAAAAAACATAGTGTTATCATAAAATTACCTTTGAATAATACCCAATTAAATTTATATAAAAATGAAATTTTTTCTAAATTGCAACATACGCATAAACATTTGGAATTTATACAGAAACATTCTAGTAAAAAAGAACTAGAAAAATTATATTCTATTTTAGAAAAAAAAGAAAATAAAATAGATAAACAATCAGATGAAATACAAAACTATAAGGAAAATGTTGAAGAAAAAAATGAAGAGGATAAAAATGATGATTACGATGATAAAGAAATTGATGAAGAAACTATTAATATAGAGAAGACTGAAGAAAATAAAGATAGTAATATAATTATTAATAAAAGAGAAGATGAACAAGTTATTGAAAATATTAATAATAATAGTAAGGATGTTAGAGGAAAGATGATAAATGCATCTATATTTATACTTAGAAGAATATGTAATCATCCTTTACTGCATAAATATTATTATTCTATTGAAGATATAAAAAATATATCTAAATATTTTTATAATAATACAGATCAGTATTTAGATTTAGATTTGAAAACAGTAGAAACAGAATTTATGAAAATATCTGATTTTGATATTCACTTATCTATTAAACATTTAATATCACAAGGAGACAATAATTTAAATAAATATTTAATTACAAAAGAGCATATATTAAATAGTACAAAAATTCATCATATGATTTCTCTTATTAAGGAAATAAGACAAAAAAAAGAAAAAGTTTTAATATTTTCCCAATTTACTACCTTCCTTGATATAATAGAAGAAGCTTTATTATATGAATTTATTTATGATGAACAAGACTTCTCAGATCATTTACAACATATCAAAAGTTCACAAAGTATTAATAAAAATGAAAAGAGTGAACAAGAAGACTTAGAAAATAATAATGAAAGTAATTTTGCTTTAACAAATAAGAATATAAATAATGATGAAAATAAAAATGAAAAAGATTTTTATATTTCTTCATCAACTTTTTCAACATCTACACTTAGCACAGAAGAAAAAACTGGAAATGAAATTTATGTTCGATTAGATGGAACTACTAATACTATTGAAAGACAAAAAATTATAAAAAGGTTTTCAAAAAATGAAAATATTTTTATATTTCTGTTATCAACGAAGGCTGGAGGTGTTGGTCTTAATTTAATTGCTGCCAATCATGTTATATTAATGGATCAAGTAATTCAATATTATAATTTTTATATTGTAAAAAAAAATATATTATAATATTATGCTTATTCAAACTTAAAAGTAAAATAAAATAATTTTATGCATTTAAAATTTCCTTTTCTTTTTTTTTTTTTTTTTAAGGATTGGAATCCTCACAATGATAGACAAGCAGAGGATAGAGTACATAGATTAGGTATAATAAATTAAACTTTTTTTTTTTTTTTTTTTTAATAGTAATATTTTATATTTAAATTTTATTTTATTTTCTTTGAAGGGCAAAAAAATGAAGTTCATATATATAGATTGTGTTGTAAAAATACAATTGAAGAAACCATACTTAAAGTTAATATATATATTGAATATTTCATTACATTTTTAATATATCTTTATATTTTTTATTATGACATATATAACTTTATTTTTTTTTATAATTACTAATTTTAAAAGAATGTTAAGTTTGTTTACAATTTTTATTTTATTCATCCTTTTTTTTTTTTTTTTTTTTTTTTTCATTTACTTTCAACAATATGTAATCATTTTTTTGAAAATTGTATACTATTATTTTATATAATTTAAAATTATATACCTTTTTATTTTTATTTATTTTCTTTTTTTTTTAATTATTTTATTATGTTTTTTATTTCCTTTTTTTTTTTTTTATTAGTGTTGTAAAGCAAAATTACACCTTGATCAAGCTTTTGGTGGAAATAGTGATTTACTACAAACAGCTTTAATAAAAGTAATTTCTTATTTTTCTTATTATTTTAAATATATATGTACATATGTCAATTATTCGTGTCTTAATTTTTTTTTAAATATATTTTTTTTTTATTTTTATTACATTTGTTGAAATTATACATGCATATTTATTTTTTTATTTGAAGGATGCATTGAGTGCTGTGGATATAAAATAAAGAAGAAACTGATAAAAGCTAAAAATTTTTTAAATAAGGATATACTTTCCTCTCTACTTTTTTTTTTAAATTCTTGCTCCATATAATTTTTACTTGGCATACTTGCAACGAGAATTTTTTTTTTTTTTTTAACATATCTACATAGTTATTTGTATTTTTAAGAGGATTTTTTCTTTTATTATTTTATAATTATATATAAATATATATATATATATATTTGTATTCTAAATATAATTTTCTCTTTTTTTTTTTTTTTTTTTTTTTTTTTTTGTCATTAAAAAACTCTTAAATTATTTTTTAAAATTAAAAAATATATATAATTTATCTGTCTCAATAATTTATAAAATTTAAAATAATCATCTTGAAAGTACTTGCTACATATTTGCAAATAAAACATCTTTTTCAAACTGAATAACAAAAGAAAATGATAATTTTAAAATATATTTTTTTAACACTGGTTGCTTTTCTACTTTTTGTCCTAATCATAAATGGTTAAGGAAATATATTAAAAATATTTCTTATAAATTCAAAAAATAAATTAATATATTTTGTTTTTAGGTTACATGTATTTTTATCAGGACAGTTATATCTTTCAATATGGAAGTAAATTTAAACTCAAAAAAAAATGAACATAAAAAGAAAAATTAATTACATATATGAAATTTTATATTTTTTTGAATTTTATTATGTTTGCTTTTTTATTTTCTTAGAGTTGGAACCTAATTATGAATACACTATTGGTAATATAATAGTTACATTTTATATATATATATTTTTTTTTTCTTTTGTAAAAATTTTTAATTTTTATTATACTTTTATAGGAGATAATTATGAGTATGTTTATTTAAAAACAGAGGAAGGGTATTTACATAAATGGTTAGAATTAATTTGTTTTTTCATTTTAATCTTTTATATTTGCATAGCATTAATTTATTGCTACTTTTTTTTTTTTTTTTTTTCCATTAGTTGGTTTATAAAAGCAGAAGGACAAGAAAAAAAACCAGTAATTCTGTATTTTTTAGGAAGTGGAGGAAGTAAGGATTATTAATTTTCTTTTTTTATTAACCTTTTCTTTTAAAATTTCTTCAACATTATATTTATGTTTATTATAGTTATTGAAAAACATATTGATGTATTTAATAAAATGATTGAAAACTTAAGTGTAGACATATTTTCATGCTCCAACAGAGGGTATATTAAAAAAAAAAAATGTAAAATATATCATTATTCTATAACTTCTATTTACTTATTAAAAATATTTTTTTTTATTTTACAGATCTGGTACAAATGAAGGCAAACCAACAGAGAAAGATCTTTATAAAGATGCTGAGATATATCTAAATTATTTAAAAAAAGAAAATATACCACATATATTTGTATTCGGAAGGTTATTTTTATATACTTAAATATATGTTTAAATATATGCATAAATATATATATATTTATATATTTATATATATATTTATATATTTATATATATATGTATTTTACATTTAGTTCTATGGGGGGGGCAGTAGCAATTGAAATGGCCCTTAGACATCAAGATTATGTAAGCAAATTTACTATTAAAATTATACAAATATATATATATATATATATACATATATATATACATACATACATACATATTTTATTAGATAACTGGATTAATTATTCAAAATACATTTTTAAGTCTAAAAAAGCTCGCAAAATACACCTATCCCTTTTTATATTATTGTCTAATTAATTATAATCTTATCATTAGAAGTAAAATGGATAATGAATCAAAAATCAAGGAAATTCATATTCCAACATTATTTAACATATCTCTAAAGGTAAAATAATATAAAAATATTTTATCTCATTATTAAGTAAAAAAAAAGAAATTCTAATTTTTTTTTTTTTACAGGATAAAGTTGTTCCTCCATTTCATTCTAATTTACTTCATGAGGTACATTTATCATATGTTTATTCTTATTTATTTTTTAATTTTCATATTAATATCTGTGCTAATTTATATAAAGAAATCTTAAAAACAACAATAAAAACGTTTGTGATATGATTGCTTATAATTTTTATACTAACATTTTCTTTTTTCATTTTGAATAAAATTTCTTTTATTTTACAGTTATGTCCATCTATATTTAAGTTTTTATATTTATCACCAAATGGAACACATGCAAATATAACTAAAGATGATGAAGTTAAGTATTATGCATCTTTTAAAGAGTTTGTCGAGTTTTCTGTTTTTTTAAAAGAAAGAAATGAAGAAAAAAAAAATGAGTTATTAGATAACTAAATTATTCTTTAACTCAGATGTACAGACAAATATTTATATGCTAAATTTCAATTGTTAAATGTTGTAAAGAAATCTTAATTAACCTATTTAATATGATATTTATTCATATAATAGTTTACTTTTTGAAATTTAAAAGATATAAACGAACAAATGTGGTTTAAAATACATTATACAGATGTCTTAAAAGTTCATAATGTATTTTTCTTCTTAAGAAGATATATCACTTTTCATGCTTTTATTATATTATTAAATAATATACTAATAATTATTAAAATATTCATTAAAATATTTTTTTTTCTATTCGTTTATAGAATTAATCTAATAGATTTAAAGTTAATAATAATTCATTTATTTTTCTTTTTTTTTTTTATTTCACATAATTAGCACATATAATTAATTTTCTCTTCATTGTTTTTATTTATTTGCATAATTCATTTTTTATTATAATTAATTTTATTTCTATTGCATTATATAATTAGAATCTGTAGTTTTCTAAAACTATTGATTCTTCCTATGTTTTTCATTTAAATCACCTTTCATACCTTGTCTTATATTTTTCATGTAATGAAAAATTTACATTAAAAATATTTCTATATGTTATATAAAGACATTACAACTTTTTCGCCTAAACCTTAAAATGTTTTATATAAGTATAATAAAGGTAATAACTAAAAGATTTCTTAAATAGGGAAATTTACTAATATTATAGAAGTATAAATAATAACTTTATTATAATGAATAATTAAAATTAATTTTAATATGTTCCTCTAAATTTAATGGTACATATTAGAATATCTAATTCCACCTTTATTTTATAATTAAATGCGTATTTGTTGTCTTCTATTTATATAAATACTTCTTTAAACAAATATAATATTAAATATTTTATATTTTTTTATCAATGTTAACAAAAATTTAAAAAATAATAATAAATATTATCTTCCCTTAATAGATTTTTATTAAAAAACATTAAAATATTAAAAAAAAAAAAAAAATGTATATTTAAGGAAAATGAATCCACATACTTTAAGTGTATATTTTTTTATATTCTTTCATATGAACTATACAGTAATTTAAAAATTAAAATATATAAAACATGTGGTATAATTAATTATTTAAAACAATAAAACCCATTTCAAATATTAAATGAAAATGAAATAATGAATAAATAAATGTAATAAAATAAAAATAAAATATTATAAAATATAATGACAATAATAAATAAAAAAAAAAATAAATAAATAAATAAATAAAAAATAAAGCAATTTATTTTAATTATATTGTTTTTAAAGGAGTGTTTTTTTTTTTTTTTTACTTCAAAAATGAATTATCAAAAATGTTTAAATTATACTAATACCTATATATTATGATTTTGTTAGGAGGGAGAATAGCAAAAAAAAAAAAAAAAAAAAAAAAAAAAAAAAAAAAGGAAAAAAAGAAAAATTTTATAAAATAATAATATTTAACCAATAAACAAATCATAATATATACGTATATATTTTTTTATAATAACATTGTAAAAAAAAAAAAAAAAAAATAAAAAAAAAGGTATATATATATATATATATATAATATTTTTTTTTTTTATATGTGTATACATTATTTCACTTTTAAAAATTTAATTTTAAAATATATAGAATTTATTTATATTTTTTCAACTTTATCTGCAACAACTTTGACATTATTTTTTATTAATTGTTGTTTATGAAATTTTTTATAATCAAAAGTACACTTGTGTGCGTCTGCATATCTATGAATTGAGCAAAAATAATGATTACATCTGCATTTTATTCCTAATAATCCTATACGTTTACAACAAAAATAACATTTGTTTTTGTCTTCAATTTCAGTTACATTGTCTTTCTCTGAATATATTGAAATTTTTTCTTTATCTGACGATTTTTCATTTATATATGATGGTTCTATTAGTTCATTTATTTTCTTATAATTTAAAGTATCATTTATATTTTTTTCATTGATTTTTTCCACTTCAGAAATTTCTTTTTTTTTTTTTTCTTGAAATTCCCTGTAACATTTAGAACATAAATTATTATTTGCTGGATTCCCATAAAATCCACAATTATTTTCACATAAAACTGGTGATGGCTGTGTAATTAGAAAAAAAAAAAAAAAAAATATTATTAAATATAAAAATTAAATATAATTTTTCATTTAGTTTATCAAAAATGTATTATCTATATTAAAAATGTATTCATATTTAATATATTCAGAAATATAAATATACAGTTACATAAAAAAAAAAAAAAAAATAAAAATTATATATTAGAAATAAATAATATCTAAATATAAAAATTATAAATTATATTTTCATTTTACCGTGGTTGCGTTTTTCTCTGAACTCATTGTTTAAACTATTCTTCGTAAAAATATTTTATAAATGGATTTGCAAAAAAAAAGAAAAACTTAGTAAACAAATTCTACTTTAATTTTTTATTTTATACATACTCTTATTTTAAGAATTTTCCCTGAACGCATGAATTAATAATTCTGACAATTTATACATAAATATGAATATATTTTTTTCCTTTTTTTCCCTGATATTTATTTATAAAATATTAATCGTAATGTTTTAATTTTATATTTGATTTAACAAATTCATTTCTCTGAATTCTTCCCTCCTTGATTACTAAAATTTTTATATTAATCAGTTTAATTTTAACTTAATCTGGTTTGACTTGTATTTATCCAATATATCTATTTGATTTTATTTGCGTTTTTATTTTTTTTTTTTTATTTTTTTTTTTTTTTTTGTGTATTAGCATATGTGTACTTATGTAGAACTATTTTTTTTTTTTTTTTTTTTNNNNTTTTTTTTTTTTTTTTTTTTTTTTTTTTTTTTTTTTTTTATTTTTTTTTTTTTGTAGAACTATTTTTTTTTTTTTTTTTTTTGTTAACATTAATAATAAAATAATGCGGTAATATAATAATTTTTTTTTTTGTTAATTTGGCTATTTAATATGGTGTATTATTTTGCACTTTTTCTTTTTCATTTTTGGTTATAACTCCAAAAATAAAAAGATCTGTATTTTTTGTTTCGTAAAAAAATATATTCTTAAGTTTAAAAAAGCAAAAAAAAAATATTTAGAATAATTTATTACAATAATAAAGATTATTAAAAAGAAAAAAAAAAAAAAAAAAATCAAACGCAATATTATTCAAATATTTATGATTTAAAAAACCTTCAAGCTATTTATACACGAATATAAAAAATTAAGAAGAAATTAAAATAATGTAATATAAAAAAAAAAAAAAAAAAAATATAAATATATAATATATATATATATATACTTATATAATTAAAGGGAAAAAAAGAAAAAGGAAACAGAAAAATATATAAAATGGAAAGAAAAACAGCAAAAAAAAATATAAAAGGGAAAACAAAAATAAATCCTTGATTACTAAAAACTTCTTTATAATTTGTATTTATTTTTCTTATATATATAAATTTAATAAATTTCGAATAATTATGTTTTTATATTTAACTATATGTTCTATGACAAAGCGAAAAAAAAAAAAAATGTATGCATATATATATAATGATGTCAGATAATTATTTGCATAGCACAAAAGCCTTTTTTTATATTTTTTAATTTATTTATTTTTTTTTTATGTTATGAAATTTTGTATGTATTTATCTATTTTTTATTTATTATTTTTTTTTTTTTTTTATACTTTTTTATTTATATATTTTTAAATAATCACTGTTATATTTGAGTAAAACGAAAAAAAAAAATTTTTATCTTATGCATGTTTTTTTTAATTGAGAAATTAAAAAAAAAAAAAAAAAAAATTACNNTTTTTTTTTTTTTTTTTTTATACTTTTTTATTTATATATTTTTAAATAATCACTGTTATATTTGAGTAAAACGAAAAAAAAAAATTTTTATCTTATGCATGTTTTTTTTAATTGAGAAATTAAAAAAAAAAAAAAAAAAAATTACGAAAATTTAAATAAAAATTTAAAAAAGTAAAAATAAAAAAAAAAAAAAAAAAAAAAAAAAAAAACATAGAAATATATAACACAAAATTTATTATTACTTATCTAAATTATTATTAAAGATAATTCAAAATTTTTGTGGCACAAAATAAATTATGATAAAACATTACTTCACGTTATTTATCTTTTTATTTATTTTTTTTTACTTTTTCGACAAAAATTATCACTTTTGAAATTATTTAAATACTTGATACAGTTAGTTGTGCGTATAATTTTTCTTAAAAAGTTAATAAAAATATATATAAGTTTTTCGTGTCCATTTAAAAAGTTTTTTTTTGCATTTTTATAAAAGAAAATAATATAAGGATAAATATTTTAAATTTGAGTTATACTAATTAATTTGTAAATGTATTTTTTCATCAAATTAATGAAATATACTCGTTGCTGAAGATATAGTTTTTTCTCATAATAATTTTGATATGTTAATTTATTTTTTAAATTAAACAAGTGTTATAAAATTATCATTTTAATATTTGAAAGGAACATTTTAAAATAAATTATACATACTTATTTTTTTGTTAATTTTGTAAGAAATGTAAATGGAGCAAACGCATATAAAGTAAAAAAAAGTTAAATTTGATTTTTGGATTGTGTGTAAATTTTTTTTTTTTTTTATATAAAAATAAATGGATTAAAATATATGTTAGTAAATATTATTAATTTGAACCATTCTTAGAATTTAATAAGCAAATCTAAAATATTCATATATTTTATGTGAGATTATTTATATTGAATAGCAAGAATATTTTTTTTAATTATTAACTTAGAAATATAAAAAGATAATGAAAATGCTATTAATGAAATAATTTTAATAGAAAATGGAGATTTAAAGAATATAAAAAAAAAAAAAAAAGAAAAAGGAAAAGATAACATGAATATAATACATATAGATATAAAAATTAAAGAAAAAAGATGATTAATTGTTTAAATTATTTTTCTAATTTTAATTTAATAATTCATAAAATTACAAAATTTCTTTTACAGTTATACTAAATATCTTTGATTATAATAATATTTTTTATGAAATATTTATAATGTTATTAACTATTCACAAAACATTAAGATAATATTTTTATTAGAAAGATATGTTTTAAAAAAATAAATATGTAAATAAATACATAACTATATATAATTTTTTTTTAAATTGGCCTATATAATTCCATTAATTCTTAAAGTATTAAATTTTCTGTTGTGAATTTTAATAAATATAAAAATATACTTGTTGATTAAAATCTTATTTCCGTTTGAATTTTTATATAAGTAATAATGTATATCCATTGAAATAAAAGTATATAAATTATTAATTTTTGCTTAAATACATGTTTATGTTAAAATAATTTTTAAATTTTTTTTGTATGTTTTAATAAAATGCATTTTAAAAAATATATTTTTTCAGTCCTAATATTAAAATTTGTTTATAACATTCTGAATTTATCTTAATAGTTTTGAAAAATAAACATGGGAAAATTAATATAAAATTATTTATAAGAATAAATATATTTTATATAGATATTAATTTTTACTTCTTTATATTCAGAATACTGAAATAAGGTTATTTTCAAAAGTCAAAAAATTTAACACATAATGATTAAAAAATAATTATATTTTGAACAATATATAATTGAATTTATAAAGAAATATATATATATAATTTATAAAAAATAAGAATAATAACATAAATTAATTCATTTTTGTTAAATAACTTTTTTTTTTTTTTTTTGTTAAATTATAAAATTTTTCTTTTTTTATAAACATACAAAAAAGGAATTTTTTTTTTTTCCTTTTTTTTTTTTTTTTTTTTTTAATTAATATAAAATTTAAATACAAAAATATTGTTTTTGTTTTCTTAATTTAATATTATAATAAATACAAAAATTTTATATCAATTTTATTTCATTAAGTAAAAAGTAAAATGTCGAAATGGTAAATAATTTTAACATAATTTTATTTGTATATATATTTATATATATATATATATGAATATATTTTTTTTTATTTTTTCAGGGTAAATTTAAAAAAACACAAAAAATATTAAAATTGAAAAGGGTTATAAATCCAAATGACAATAGATTAAAGCAATGCAATGATAAAAAAATAAAAAAAAAAAATAAAAATGAAGAGAAAATAAAACAAGTAGAAGTAATCGATAGTAATTTATTTTTTAATTATAATGAAAACTTAACTCCACCTTACAACATAATACTTGATACTAATTTTATTAATTCAAGTATTCAATATAAAATTGATATAGTAAAAGGTTGTTCAGAGTTATTATTAGCCAAATGTAACATTTTTGTTACAGATTGTGTTATGGCAGAAATGGAAAAATTAGGTCAACGTTATTCTCTAGCATTAAAATTATTAAAAGATGCCAGATTTAATAGACTAACTTGTACCCATAAAGGGACTTATGCAGATGATTGTATTGTTAATAGAGTTACTGAAAGTAGATGCTACATTATTGCAACAAATGATAGAGATTTAAAGATAAGATTACGAAAAATACCAGGAGTACCTATTTTATATGCCAAAAATTTTAAATATAAAATTGAAAGATTACCGGATAATATTATGATATCATAATGTTACATATATTTATATACTTTATTTGATTTTATATTTTAAAATATTATTGCTTTTGTACCTTTAATTTTAAAAGGATAGAAACAAAATATTCATTTTTGTACATTATTTTTTTTTATATGATAATAATTTTTGGTTTTCACTTAATTTTTAGAAAATTACTTTTTCTCATAATTCATTAAATTACATTTATGGATTATAAAAAATACGAATTTTTAATTTTTATAAATATTTATGAAAAAAATTATTTTTGTTATAATTTATAAAAAGACATTAATTTTTTATTATTATTATGAAAATTTTTATTTTTTTAACTATTAAGGGTTTGTTAAATATCATTAAAGAACACAAAAAAAAAAAAAAAAAAAAAAAAATTAATAACAATTAAATACGATTTATTGATAATTATACATTTAAAAATAATAAATAAATAGTAACATGTTAAAATTAAGAAATTATAAATAAAAAATTGAAATTGATATATTAAAAATAAAATAAAAATATTATATATAAAAAGTATCTATGAATTCTATAAGTAAAAGAAAAAATAATTAAAAAAGTTTTGTTAATTTTAATAAATAGCAGTAATATGTAAAAAATAAAAAGATATATTACTCTAATATAATATAATAAAAAACGTTAATATTACTTTAAAAAAAAAAAAAAAAAAAAAACACACATAGAGAAACGTATATATGTATATAATAATAATAATAATAGTGTGCATTTGTCTATTTTATAAATGGTTAACAAGTAATTAAAAATTATTCTGAATTCTTTAAATAATTATACCGAAGATTTATTTCATGTATATTTTCCTAAAAAGAAAAAACGTATATATATATTAAAATTAAAAAAATATATTTCATAATTGTTTTTTTTTTTTTTTGTTAACTTCAACAAATACGGGATTCATATTGGTTAGAATATTATCAACAATTTTTAAATTTTTTTTTATAGTCCATCTATGATCTATGAACATATTTACCCCTATAAATGAGGAACATCCAATTTTGCTGTTGTATATATGACCTGTTCATAAGAAAAAAAATGTATATTTACATATGTGAAATGCTATACAGTAAATATAAAGTATTTTTTTTTATTTAAATTATTTCTTATTATATTTCCAAAAGGAAAAAAATAAAGAATAATAAAGAAAAAAGAATACTTGTATATATATTATATGTACACTTTACATTTATAATCAAAATAGTTTTTATTTCCTATTTTAAGAGAATCTGTTATACATGTTCCTGACCTAAAAATATTATAATTACCAATGTACATATTTTTATTTGTATTATTTATTATAGTAACATTATCTTCAAATAAGTTATTTTCTCCTATATATATTTTTGCTTTTTTAACTATAACATTACAACCAGGAAAAATAATATTTCCTTTTCCGATATTTACATTTTCATTTATTTCTGAAAAAATAAAAGATGCTTCATTATCCATTTCTTCAACATTCTCTATCTTTTCATTTTTATCCATTATAGAATTTAATGATATACTTTTAAATTTAAACATATCTTCCTTATGTAAATTTTGAAATAGAAATTTGATAACGTATCTTTCAAAGTAATTTAAATTTCTTTTTGGTGATAAATATTTCCTTTTAGTCTTTGAATAAAAGGAAATGATATAATCAAAAAAAAATTTTAAAAAGTAATGGTTATTTTTTTTATTATATAAATAATTCTTCCTATCCCATATATTTTTTAATAATTTTTTATTTTCATTATATGTTAACTCTTTCATTATTTTTTTGTTTTTGATATCCTTCACATATATCTTCTTAACTATTCTTCTATTTTTGTAAAACGTTTTCTTAACTTTTTTTTCATTATTCTGTGTATACCCATTTATTAATTCATTATGCCTTCTAATCCATTTTAATATGTAATTTATTGCATTTTTTTTTAACATGTAATTATATGATATATTATCAGAATGAGAAACAACTTCTCTAATGTCATTAATTAAATCTTAAAAGAAATAAAAAGAAGATGATATTAAAAAAATAAAAAAATTTCTTATATAATTTTAACATTATTTTGTGTATTTATATTTATATATATATATACAACCAAGAAAAAAAAAAGTCTTCTGATTATTAATAAAAAAATTATATAATAATATAATTGAATTAGACTAACGCATTAAAATATATATATTCTCATCTTACTTAATCATTTTATATAATTTATATAAAAAAAAAAAAAAAATAATAAAATACTAAATTAAAAAATACTTTTATTTAAATGCATATAAATTCATATAAAACTAATATAATTTTCACGTAATTTTGTTTTTACCTTTTTTATTTATTTCTTTATTAATTTTTACAAAAGATAAAGCTTCCTTAGAAAAGACCCTTTCCTTATTAAAGTTATATGTATCTATTTTGTAAATAGTATTTAGATAAAATGATAGAGGAGATTTCTCGATTTTCATATAATTTTTAAAGTTTTCACTATTTCTAATGGGGAACTTATTTTTTGAATTATGTTTATATATATCATCGCCAAATGTATCAGTATGTTTTGAATTATTTTCATTGTTACTGTAATCATTTTTTATTTCTTTAATAACACTCGCTTCACTAAATGTAGAATCGTATTCTGAACTTAGATTAGGATCTGCGTCTAAATCTGATAACTCTAAATTTTTTTTATTAGTATTAAATTTTCTAAATATATTACTTTCAAAAGTATTATTTTCTGTTTTTAATTTTTTAAATTTAAATATATATTCACTTAATGAACTAACTCTTTTATAAGTACATAATATTTCACTTTTTATAGAATTTTTAGAATCATCTGTAGATGTTTTAATAGAAAGTAGACCTAGCAAGCTATTTGAATTTTGCTCTATATTACTTGAAGTATGTGATAAATCGGATTCATAAATAGGAGCTTCTTTTCTTATAAAATGTTTACTTTCCTTAATATCTCTATCTAAATCGAGTGATAATAACTTCCTAAAATGTTCTTTACTCATTTTAATTAATTATGAAAAATTATTTTTTTTTAAGAAAAAAGAAATAGATTTATTAAAAAAATATTTAAAAAAAAAAAAAAAAAATCGAATCAGATTTGTCACATAATCTCACTTTTATCTTGTTATAAAACTAGTAATTTAAAGTAACTATAGCCAAAAAAGAATTGCTAATTAAAAAATATGTTATTACACACACAGAGAAAAGAAAAGTATAAGATATATAAAAATAATATATGTATTTCTTAAAATAGTACTAATATAAGAAAAAGGGATAAAAATAAATTATCAAAAATATTATTTTTAAAATATATATAGCAAATAAATTTAATTCAAATTATATATAATTTTTATGGGTTCTTAATTTTATAATCATAAAAAGGGTAAAAAAAAAAAGTTGTAGTAAAATAATAAAATTTGTACAATTAATAATAAATAGCCTTAGCATTTTTATTTTTATAATATAAATTTAATATTAAAACAAATTTTAAATAAAGAAAAAAAATTTTATAAAATAAATATGAAATTTTTTTCTTATTTATTTTATTTTTTCTTTGTTGCAAATATTGCTTGTGTAAATCGATTGTTCTACATAGACAAATTTTTTACAATTTTATGTAACCATAATAGATGTACTACTTTTTTATATATACAAACAACATTTTATTCTCATACATATATATATATTTTTATATATATATTTTTATATATATATTTTTATATATTTATTTATATTTTAATTCAACATTTTCAGATTTTCCAATTTAAATAAAGAAAAAGAAACTTTGAAAAAAAATAATTTTAGTTTTTTCTTTTCAAGTCTTCATTTGTCATAATAACAAAAAAATTATTCAAAAAAAAAAAAAAAAAAATTGTAATGTAACAATTTCAAGACAAGTTTTAATTTAGACTAAAATATTTTAAAAGAAAAAAAAAAAAAAAAAAATTTCTTCAATTTTCAACTAAATTAAATAGTTTAATATATTAAGAAGAATTTATTTCTTTTTATTTTATTTTTTATTAGACATGGTATTTTTTTTAATATTAAATTTTACAATAATAAAAGAAGCATTTTTAAATTAATATTCTTTATTGAATGTAAATCCTAATTTTAAGTAACTATTAAAATTAAAATGGATTTTTTTATATAAATATATATTAATTTTTCTAAATAAAAATTCTTATTTTTCTTTTTTTTTTAACTGAAACTTCCACTTTTTCTTATTATTATTTAGCATGGAATTTAAATTAAAGGAAGAACATAACATAGAAATTTACATTTGTAATTTTTTCTTTATACCACATTTTTTAAATATATATAAGATAAAAATTTTAAAATAAGAGAATATTAAAGAATTCATAGTAACTTGTTACTAGTTATAATAGATAGAAAATACTTTATTAACATCCGCATCAAATACTTTCCTATATAATTTAACATAATACTTTCATATGGAAAAAAAATAGAAGAAGCCGATAAATATGAAGATGTTAAATAAAATATGCTGAATGAGTACAAAGTAATTAGTTATATATAATACTCATATTTTGTGAAGAATACATCTAATATTTTGTCCTATGAATTCTCCTAATTTTATTCATTTTCTTGAATTTATTAACATTTTGTTTATATTATACTCTATATAATCATCATTATTATATTCTTAATTTTTTTTCTTTTTAATTATTTATTCGTCCTTGTAAAGAATAAGTTTTTATATATAGAATGAAAAAAAAAAAAAAAAAAAATTAGAAAAAAAAATTTTTCATTAAATGAATGTTAAGTACTTAATATAAAAAAAAAAAAAAAAAAAAAAAATAATACTATAATTGAAAGTTAAAGGTAAAAATAATAAAATTTTTTGTTTGAAATTTTTTATCAGTATTTAAAATTTCTTTATTTTTTTATTCTTTTGAATTTTTTCTTTATATATATAAATATATATATATATATGTATATATAGTATTTTTTTTTTTTTTGCTCACATAGATATTATCTTTAAATGTAAAGATTCATGAAATGAAATAATGAAAAAATATCAACACATATATATTTTTTTTTTATGGTTATAATTTATGTATTAGCAAGTTTTAAACTTTTAAACCTATGAAATCAAACAGTTGATAACTTTCTTCTCAAAAAATAATGTAATTTATAATAAATTATAAATACACATATGATATAATTATACATATATTAAATATATATATATATATATATATATATATAAGTATAAACATTCCAAATAAAAATTATTATTTTATTCTAGTCCTTCATCTTTTGATTTTTCTGTGAAAAAAAAAAAAAAAAAAAAGAATTTTAAATTATACATATAAAAATAAGGATTATCAAGAATATGTAATATAAGTTGTAAAACAAATATTTTTTTCTTATATATCACAAAAAAACATTACATAAAATTAAAATTTACATATATCTCAAAAAAAAAAATGTATATATTATATTTTTGAAAAAAAAAACAAATATATTTATTAAATAATTCAAAACAATTAATAAGAATTTAATATACAAGTATTTTTAATAAAAGTATGTGTGCAAATATATATGCTTTTATATTGAATTAAAAAATACCTTCTGTTTGATCTCCTTGTAAATCTGATGTCCATAATGTCAAGTTATCTCTTAAAAGTTGCATAATCAAAGTGGAATCTTTATATGAATCTTCACTAACATTATCAAATTCTGTAATAGCATCGTCAAATGCTCTTTTAGCCATTTCACAAGCTTGATGAGGTTGATTTAAAATTTCATAAAAGAAAACAGAATAGTTTAATGCTAAACCTAAACGTATTGGATGTGTTGATGGGAGTTCATTTTCTGCAATTTCGGTAGCTTTTTGGTATGCTTCCTGTGCAAAATTAGAAGCTTCCTTTTTTCCTTCATCACAAGAAAATTCACTAATATAACGATAGTAATCACCTTTCATCTTGTAATAAAATACTTTACTTTCACTTTCAGATGTATTTGGTATTAACTTTTTTGTAAGAAGATTTAATATATCTTGACATATATTATTTAATTCTTCTTCTACTTTTTTTCTATATGTAGCAGCAACATTCTTATTATGAACATTAGCTTTGCTCATTTCTTTTTGTTCAACACTTGAAATTATTCTCCATGAAGCTCTACGTGCACCAACAGCATTTTTATAAGCAACAGACTAAATAAAAATTTATACAAAAAGATTAAAATTATTTATTATATGAGATTAAAAAAAAAAAAAAAAAAAAGATTACTTTTTTAATTATAATAAAATAAGTATGTAAATAAAATTAAAAAAGGAGAATAAGTATTTAAAATATAAATTCTCAATAAAGAAAAAATTTCTCTCTTGTATATATATTATTTAAAACACAGAAACTCAAAAAAAAAAAAAAATCATAATAAAGTACTATAAATATAAATATTAAAAATACAAATATGCTCAAAAAAAATAAAAAAAATAATAAAATATTAGGATATTAAAATAAAATACTATTTAATTTTACAGTTATCAATCATGCATATATATATATATATATAGAATATATATATATCTTTATACCAATAAATTCCTTTCTTCAACAGTTAATTCATCTTTATCATTATTTACACATTGTTCAACTAAAGTTCTCATTGCTTCTGCCATTTCTATTAAAGATTGAAAAAATTTTAAAAAATATATAATTATTATAATATAAAATTAACACATTTTCATTTACAATTATCCTCAAAAAATAATATAAAAATGTACCTTATCACTATAATATATACACATATACATATTTATATATATTCTTATAAAACATTAGAAAAACATATATACAAACTTAAAAAAAAAAAAAAAAAAAAAAGGATATAAATCTTAAAGTTCAAATTTCTATTCTCAATAAATAAAAATTATTTTATTTTATCAAAACACAATTTTAATAAAATAAAATATATTTACTTCATAAAATGTAAATGAATATATATATATATATATATATATATATATATATATATGCTGATACTTGTATATATATAAATGTGTATCTTTTTAGATAAATCATAGAAATTAAATACATTAATTATTTAATTTTTCATATAATATAATATGCTTTTTTTTTTTTTTATGTATAAACTTTACCATCATATCTTTCGGCTTGTTCAGCCAATTTAGAACGATAAGTACAATCACATCTTAATTGTTTTAATTCTTCAGATGTTGCCATTGTATATATATATATGTTATATATATTTTTTTACTCTTTTTTTTTATTTTATATTTTTTTTTAATTTTTTAGCAAAAGCAAAAAATTATATCAACAGTATGTAATTTTGTTTGTAATTATCTATAGTCTACGTAAATAATAATAATAATAAAATTAATGAAAGTATGAAGTAAAAAAAAAAAATTAATTCATGAAGCCTAATAAAAAAAAAAAAAAAAAGTTATAATAAAATAAGAAATTCAAGCCATGCACTAAATTTTTATTTTTATGCAGCGCAAAATATTATTTTAAAAAAATTTTTCTTTATTTTGTTTTATTTTTTTTTTTTTTTATTATTTATTCTCTCCAGAATATGTTCTTTTCAACATTTATTTTTATGTGCAAGTATTCAAAAAATAGCCCTCTTGTTAAATTGTTAATAATAAAACAATAGGTATTTTAATTTTAATAATCGATCTTAAAATGTTTTCTTTTTTTTTCTAAATATTTTATTCTTTTTTTTTACTTCTTTTTTCACTTTTTTATGCATACTTTACTTTTTATTTTTTATTTTTTTTTTTTTTTTAATGAATACTTCTATTTTATTTTTTGCTCTTTCTAGTTTTTTTTTTTTTTTTTTTATTTATTTCCCCAAACCTTTGTGCA